GAGGCGGCGGAGCCGGGCCCCTGACCGGTCACCATGTGGGCCTTATCGGAATTGCCCATGCCGCTGCTGGTGAATGTGATCGTCTCATTGTTGGGATTTGTGGCCACAGTCACCCTCATCCCGGCCTTCCGGGGCCACTTCATCGCTGCGCGCCTCTGTGGTCAGGACCTCAACAAATCCAGCCGACAGCAGATGTGAGCAGCCGTACACGGGTCCGGGCAGGGGGCAAGGGCTAAGGAAGGAGTAGCCAGGGTTGGGGCGGGAACCGGGGTGCTAGACCATTCTTGGAGACTCAGAACTAACCCAGACAGCCTGGGACTCAGAGAGGTGAAGGGCAGAACTTACTCGCATTGGGGAAGGGCTGGGTAGGGACCCTTGGGTGTTTAGGGACTCTAAGAGTGGTGCTCTTCTCCCTCCGCACCCCTCACCACTTCCCAAAATAAAGAACTGGGAATGAGAAGATCACTTTGGGTTATTGTAATACCTGCACTAGTGAGTGACCACGCCCCCTTTCCTCCTCCTCCTCCCCTCACCTCCTTGCTGCTGGGCCACAGCCCAGAATCCCAGGGAGTGATCAGCGGTGCAGTTTTCCTTATCATCCTCTTCTGCTTCATTCCTTTCCCCTTCCTGAACTGTTTTGTGAAGGAGCAGTGTAAGGCATTCCCCCACCATGAAGTAAGTGGGTTCATGGGGGTGGTTGCTTGTGGCTGGGATCTGGGAGGTACCTGAGAGAAGTGGGGTTATTTGGGCTTGCGGGGAGGGGCTAAGAAATGATCAGAAAAGACAGGAATTCTTAAACGATGGAATGGGAGCAGGCTTGAGTCATGGACCTGCCCGAGCCTCCCCCAGTTTGTGGCCCTGATAGGTGCCCTCCTTGCCATCTGCTGCATGATCTTCCTGGGCTTTGCGGATGATGTACTGAATCTGCGCTGGCGCCATAAGCTGCTGCTACCCACCACTGCCTCACTACCTCTCCTCATGGTCTATTTCACCAACTTTGGCAACACGACCATCGTGGTGCCCAAGCCCTTCCGTCCGATTCTTGGCCTGCATCTGGACTTGGGTAAGTAATCCTGCCACTGCTGCTCCTATGGCACCTACTTCAGGGTACCCTTCCTGGTGCGCCACATTCTCTTCCAAGTGTTCCTTTTCTGTCTTTGTGTCTGCCCAGATCCTTTTTGGTGGCCCTTCATCTTATCCTCTGTCCTCACCACTTATCTCAAATTCTTAAATCCTCTTCCCCTAGGTGGCACTACTTCTTTTCCTACCATGTCTCCCCCCAGGAATCCTGTACTATGTCTACATGGGGCTGCTGGCAGTGTTCTGTACCAATGCCATCAATATCCTAGCAGGAATTAATGGCCTAGAGGCTGGCCAGTCACTAGTCATTTCTGCTTCCATCATTGTCTTCAACCTGGTAGAGCTGGAAGGTAGGTGGAACTGGGGGTGGGGAGAGAGAAGTCTGAGTGTTAAAGGTGTGGCTTGATATATAGCTTTGGGAAACTCAGAAAACAATATATGTTTAGTAATTATAGAAGATAAGGGAAGTTACTTACTTTACAAATAACAATGCAGATTTATTAAAAGTGAGAAAGAAAAATAGCAGCCCCATCATTTATAGCTGGATTGGCACTAATAGCTTGATTATGATCTTCTCCCATTGAATATAAAGTTTCACAGAACCCCAACATTACACAGGGTCACTCTGTGACCATAAGGGAGTGAGACCAAAACTAGATCCCTCCCTCTATAGTCATGTTTGAGTACGGACAAAATCACAAGAACACTGAGCAACCCACAAAATGGCCAAGATCCCTTCTCTCGGCTAACATTAGCAACTGCTGCTGCTTTCCAATAACAACTCAGTTCCTACCACATTTTTTTTTTTTTTTTTTTTTGAGGCAAGGTCTCCCTCTGTTGCCCAGGCTAGAGTGTGGTGGCATGATCTTAGCTCACTATATCCTCTGACTCAAATGATCCTCCTGCCTCAGCCTCCCGAGTAGCTGGGACTACAGGCATGTGCCACCACACCTGACAAATTTTTGTATTTTTTGTAGAGACAGGATTTCACCATGTTACCTAGGCTGGTCTTGAACTCCCGGGCTCAAGTGATCTGCCAGCCTTGGCCTCCCAAAGTGCTGAGATTACACTTTTGAGCCCCTGTGCCCAGCCAGTTCCTGCCACTTCTTAAACATTAAAATGCTTGATCATAGAATTACTTCTGCTTTCTAACAGCATCCAGTCTAGAGCACAACTACTTTCTTTCATCCTCTCCCAAAATACTCAAAACAAATCCTACTATAAGCCCCTTCTAACACTGTCTTACTGAGACATTCTGTGGTTCTCAGTGATGTGTGGTTTCGGAAGTCTCCCTTTTTACAAGTCATTAAACCTAGCTTTGAACGATAGATATGTTTCTGGTGGTCTTTGGCTGATGAACGTCAACAAGTGTTTATTAAAGCTAAGTATTTTTTAAACACTATCTTATTTAAATCTTGTAATGGCTCTATGTGGCAGATGTTATAATCAGCCCTATTTTACAGATGAGAAAACAGGCTTAGAGAAGTTAAATATGTGATGATCAAGATCAAGGTCATACAGCTAAGAAGTAAAGTTGGTATCCAAACTTAGGTCAGAATGGTCTAAACCAAATTTAAGACAATAACTAGTTCAGGAAGGCTTCATGAAAGAGGTAGAATATTGGGAGTTGCCTTGGGTGACATAAAAGGGGTACTGAGTTCTTGAAAGTGACTTGGGTGAGGTAGATGATACAGCTATAAACAGAACTTAGACAAAAATAGGATCAAGTATTCAGGGGAAGTGGGTATTAGCTTTTCCTTCTTTATTCCTTGCTTCCAAAGGTGATTGTCGAGATGATCATGTCTTTTCCCTCTACTTCATGATACCCTTTTTTTTCACCACTTTGGGATTGCTCTACCACAACTGGTAAGTAGGCCTTGGATTAGGGGGGCAACTACCTGAACACATGGGAAAGATGGTCCTTATCATAACCCACTTTGTGGTGGAGAGGCTAAACCTGTGCATACCTCTGTGGAGTTTTCTGCATCTTCAGTTGGTTGTATTCTGAAATTTCTCTCTACCCAGCAGTAGTGGGGGATAAGTGCGTGGAGGCCCTAGGAACAGATGAATTCAGAGCCTTGGATCCTGCAGAATTGCTGTGCAGCTGGAGTCTCCTCTGAGTCAGAACTAGGGTCAGGGCCAGTCCAGTGCCCATAGGGTGTGATGTGAGAGAAAGGGTTGGTAATGCCTCTTGCCACTGGCTCACATCCACTCCCCCACACAGGTACCCATCACGGGTGTTCGTGGGAGATACCTTCTGTTACTTTGCTGGCATGACCTTTGCCGTGGTGGGCATCTTGGGACACTTCAGCAAGACCATGCTACTATTCTTCATGCCCCAGGTGTTCAACTTCCTCTACTCACTGCCTCAGCTCCTGCATATCATCCCCTGCCCTCGCCACCGCATACCCAGGTAGCCGCTTTGGGGCTTGAAATGGACATCATAGCCTTTTCACTTGGGATATCTAATGCAAACCTATACATTTGCTGTGCAAAGGGAGTAGGCCCAAACAAGGACTATTTCCATGTGAGTAGCCCTTTATAACTTACAAAGCACATTTACTTGCATAATCTGATGCTCACAGTGGTTCTGATAGCAGTAAGCAGCAGAGCCAGCAATAGATCTCAGGTTGACTCCACCTTCAATGCTCTTCCTATTAATTAGCCACAGGGAGGAGGGTTCAAATAGTGGCCCAGTCACATGAAGCTATCTTCCCCCCCGCAGACTCAATATCAAGACAGGCAAACTGGAGATGAGCTATTCCAAGTTCAAGACCAAGAGCCTCTCTTTCTTGGGCACCTTTATTTTAAAGGTAACAGGGTAACAAGGAGGTAAGGCCCTAGGTTGCCATCCTGACCTCAAGGAACGGGGAACCTAGGCCTACATCAGATCCAAGGGGAACTTGGAAGCATTAAACAGAGCCACATTCCTGAAGCTTAGGTATTAGCTGAAGTTCTCTTCACCTTTGGCCCCTCCAGGTGGCAGATAGCCTCCGGCTGGTGACAGTTCACCAGAGTGAGACTGAAGATGGTGAATTCACTGAATGTAACAACATGACCCTCATCAACTTGCTACTTAAAATCTTTGGGCCCATACATGAGAGAAACCTCACATTGCTCCTGCTGCTGTTGCAGGTGAGGATGAGGGTTTACACCTGCTTGTCTCCCTTTCTTCATGATTCTTACTCCAGCCCATTTCTCCTTGCAGATCCTGGGCAGTGCCATCACCTTCTCCATTCGATACCAGCTCGTCCGACTCTTCTATGATGTCTGAGTCCCTTGATCATTGTCCTTTACCTCACAGTCTCTAGGATTCCTGACTCAGGCTGACCTCTCTCTGGACCAAGACTGCCTCCTGGCCCAGGCATCTCTCACTTTCCGTGCTCCTTCAGATTTTGTTCTCAGCATTTTCCTTTCCCTGTGATCATTGGCATCCTGGGCGTTTCTTGTCCTCTACTGACAATTGATCGGACTTTGCCTATGGCCTCCTGCAACTTGCCACTCTCTCCCTCTCCATCCCATCTTTGCAGCCTCATAGGGTGGGATACAGCAGTTTTTTGTTTTTGTTTTTGTTTTTTTTGCAGTTATCCACACTCACATTTCAGAATCCTCACTCTCAAGGAACTGCTGGTTTTTGGGATAGAACTTGGGCCAGGGCTAGGGACACAGGCTCCAAGGTGACATGTCATTTGATTGTAAATTAAGTGTTCTGATTAGTAAGAGCTGAGCAGGGGGCTACATGCTCCCAATGGAGACAATAAAGTGTTGTCTTTTTCTTATTGTTCCTGTAGGTATATTTCCTATATGGGCATTTTTGGGTAGATTGAGAGGGTTGGTGAGAGTACTTCCACCAACAGGATGCCTATCTCTCTCCCTTGCATAATCTGATACGGTGGTTCTGATAGCAGTAAGCAGCAGAGCCAGAAACAGATCTGAGGTTGACTCCACTTCAGTGCTCTTCCTATTAATTAGCCATGGAGGAGGGTTCAAATAGTGGCCTCCTCTCTCCTTTCTTCTAGCAAGAAATGAACAGAACTGAGACCAAACAGAACATGTTGAATAAATATTGAAATCCTGGCTAGGCATGGTGGCTCACGCCTGTAATCCCAGCACTTTGGGAGGCTGAGGCAGATGGATCACGACGTCAGGAGTTTGAGACCAGCCTGGCCAATATGGTGAAACCCTGTCTCTACGAAAAATACAAAAATTAGCCCAATGTGGGGGTGTGTGCCTGCAGTCCCAACTACTCTGGAGGCTGAGGCAGGAGAATTGCTTGAACCTGGGAGGCAGATGTTACAGTGAGCCAAGATGTGCCACTGACTCCAGCCTGGGCAACAGAGCCAGACTCTGTCTCAAAAACAAAATAAAAGAACTCCTGATACTTCAGGAGGGCCAAAAGATTAAAGTTACCCTGTTTCGTGGAATGGGATCACACTTTCAGAGTCACTGGGTGTGGTGGCTCACACCTGTAATCCCAACACTAGCAGGCAGAGGCAAGAGGATTGCTTAAGCCCCAATTCAAGACAGCCTGGGCAACAAAACGAGACTCTGTCTCTACAAAAATAAAATAATTAGCCAAGTATGGTGGGGCGCGATTGGAGTACCAGCTACTAGGGAGGTTGACCAGGGAAGATCCCTTGAGCCCAGGAGTTCGAGGCTGCAGTGAGCCGAGATCACACCACTGCCCTCCCGCCTGGGTGACAGAGCGAGACCCGGTCTATTTAAAAAAAAAGAAAGAAAGAAAAGAACGTTAAGGGTCTAATTTCCCTTTCTCCCTTTGCCAGGTAGGAGAAGGGTATAGAGAGTGACCTGGCCTGGAAAGGGAGGCAGCGGTAGCTGTAGTATTGACCCCTGTCCTTTAAAATTCCTATTCCAGCACAATTTCCCAGAAGTTTTCTAGGTGGCCTCAGACTCCACCCCTTCTGTCTTCAGCTTCTGGTTTCCGACTGTACCGTTTAAATCTCGCGCGCTTTACAATGATTGGCTACGTTCGCGGGTGGTTGGCCGTCTGCCCGCTACCCCTCCTTTTCGCCTTTTCTCCCCGGGCAAAAGGTTTTCAAATTTAACCAATCGACGGGCGCGCTACCTCAGCAGAGGCGCGACACCCAAGGGTTAATCGCAACCAATCGGAGGAGGGTACTGGAGAAAAGGGCCAATCAGGAGGGTGCGGAGGTGTGTCCTGGGGGCCTATAAAAACGGCCTCTCGGCGCGCGCGCGCGACAGCAGTTGGACTGCGGAGAGTGTTTGTCCTGGTGTCTCTGAGCCGTTGAGCTTCGCCGGTCTACCTCGCTAGCATGTCGGGCCGCGGCAAGACTGGCGGCAAGGCCCGCGCCAAAGCCAAGTCGCGCTCGTCGCGCGCCGGCCTCCAGTTCCCCGTGGGCCGCGTACACCGGCTGCTGCGGAAGGGCCACTACGCCGAGCGCGTTGGCGCCGGCGCTCCAGTGTACCTGGCGGCAGTGCTGGAGTACCTCACCGCTGAGATCCTGGAGCTGGCGGGCAATGCGGCCCGCGACAACAAGAAGACGCGGATCATCCCCCGCCACCTGCAGCTGGCCATTCGCAACGACGAGGAGCTCAACAAACTGCTGGGCGGCGTAACTATCGCCCAGGGAGGCGTTCTGCCCAACATCCAGGCCGTGCTGCTGCCCAAGAAGACCAGCGCCACCGTGGGGCCGAAGGCGCCCTCAGGCGGCAAGAAGGCCACCCAGGCCTCCCAGGAGTACTAAGAGGGCCCGCGTCGCGGCCGGCCGCCAGGCCTCCCCATGCCACCACAAAGGCCCTTTTAAGGGCCACCACCGCCCTCACGGAAAGAGCTGAGCCACTTCAGACTGCGGAGCAAGCGGGCCGCGGCTCCCGCCTCCCTGCCCCTCCCCTCGCCCACCGCCCGTCCTGGAGTCCCCGTCCGCCCCCACTCGTGGCCCGCGCCCCCTGCCGCGTCGGCCTCGGGCCCTGCCACGTCCGCCGGCCGCTCTCCGGCAGGGCTCGAGCGGTCCGGAAACGGCTAGGGCGCTCTGCGGGGACCGCCGTGGCGCGGAGGACCCGAGCCTGCCGGGGGGAGACCGGCGACGCCGCACCTGCCCGCCTCGGCGCTCGTGACTCAGCCGCCCGATCCTGAGTCGCCGAGGGGCTGCGGGGAGGCCGCAGCACCTTCTGGAAGACTTGGCCTTCCGCTCTGACGCAGGGCCGAGGTGGGCAGCCCAGGCCCAGAGGCCGGCGGCCCTGAAGGTGAGTCCGTCCCTCGGCAGCTGCAGCCGGGGCGTCTGGTCCTCCCCCGTCGTGGTGCTTAGCCCAGGACTTTGAGACGTGGCCGCTGGCCTGGAGGCTTTGGTGGGAGAGATGGGCTCGCTGATATCCGTCTGGCGCCCCCTCTGCGGCCAGGACTCAGGCCTTTCACGTCAGCTCTCCATCTTCATTCATAGGTCTGCGCTGGGGCCGGGACGAAACACCTGGTAACAGGCACATCTTCCTCCCGAGTGACTGCCTCCTAGGAGGACATTTGGGGGAGGGTGGAGGCCTGCAGTTTGGCTTCACGGCTGGCTATGTGGACAGCGAGAGTCGTTTTCGCGGAAGCCAACTGGCAGCCAGGCCTGTCGGGCCTCCCCACGCTGCCCCATGTCCCTTCCAGCAAACTCGACTCGGCAATCCAAGCACCTAGATACCAGCACAAGTCGGTTAATCCCTGTCTGGACTGAGCCTCTGTTGGCTTTCGAACTGGAATTTTGCAGCTAACCCTTACAACACTAGAACCTGAGGCATTGGGGAGTTTTAGATGGACTAATTTTATTAAAGGATTGTTTCTTTTTTAAATGGAGCGTTTGTATTCATTCTGCAAGAGGGTTGTAGAATTAGTGACTTTGTACACCTTCCCGAGACAGTGGGGGTGGGAAGGGTATGCAATATAAATAGGCTCTACTGTTATAGAGAAGGGACAAACCATAGCAATTTAAGATTATGGCTGTTTCTCAGTGTTTCTGGGAGACAATTTATTCTGTGTGAAATGAAAACTATTTAGGCAGAAGCAGAAAGGATGTTCCAGGAGAACTTTGGGCAAAAGTCCCAGCCTCAGAAGTAAGGATGAAAGGGCTTTGTTCATATCTTCCTGCCCACCCCACGAAAGAAAAACAACAAAAAGCACCTTCAGAGCGGTTTATTAGTAGAACTGGTTACATTCAAAGGCTGTGGCTTGGATTTCTCTAAAGAGATGAAGCCCTCACATACTGAGGAGGCAAGGCAGTCATCAGGGGCTCATAGTGAGGCAAATCCCTGGAAGGCTTGGACCCTGCTGTTCAGTCTCCTGGGGTAATTGCTCCCCAGCTAGCATGACAATGGGCACTGGACAGCAGCAACCCAGGCATCTGCCCCACAGACCAGTTAATGGGCATCATTAAGCTGCCGTGCAATATCCAGGATGTTTTTGGCTCCTTTGCTCAGCAACAAGTTGGCCAGGCTGATGCCCAAGTTCTGGGCAGCCAACTGGGGTCCTCGTGGAATGTTCCGAGCAGTGATGCCTACTAGCTGTGGGTCATCCTCAGGGCCATCTTCATGCTGTATGAGTGGAGGTGGGATTTGGTGAGAACAAGAGAGATTACATGCACTCTTATTACCCCCCTCACCCTTCAGCTTTGGTACCTGGGCAGGGACATGGATTGTAGCCTGCATGGTGTCCTGTATGCTATCTGAGCCATCTAGACTCCAGACTCCTCCAGTCAGGTACAGCTGGGGAAGAAAACAGTTGCCTCAATACAGTATGAGAGGAGACTGCTTAGAAGCCTGGATGCACAGGAAGAAATGTCACAGTCCCTTCCCTGCCTTTCCACCAATTTTCCACTGCTTACTTGCCCATCCTTCATAGCTGTATGCACAGCTACTGGCACACTGCAGCCTCCTTCCTGCAATGAGAAGTTGCTATGAGCTCCAAGGGCTCTTAATACCACCCTGTGACCACAGACCTAAGGACACCACTGAAAAGGCAACTGTGAGCCCGTACCTGGTCCTCTCAATACACAACATTCAACAAGAATGAGTTAGCACTATATACAAAGCATTCATGTGAGAAATCTCCCCACCACCCTTCCCAGCTCTCCAAGTCCCCAGCCCTCCACAGGCTGAGCACAGGTCGTACCTACCAGGTGCCTCAGGAAGGCCCTTTCAGCGATGCAGCGAAGCAGAGTTTCAGGATCATGCAGTACACCCACCATATCCAAGATGTCCTGGTCCTTGGCTCTGACTTCCACACCCAAGGCCCCCTGATGGAAAAACACCCTAGGACATCAGGCCTGATTTTCCCCAACCAATGGCACCAACTATCTACTTGCCATTGGGAACACCTCTATCTACTTGCTCCCCAGGGTCTTCTGGACTGATTTTCCCCAACCAATGGCACCAACTATCTACTTGCCATGGGAACACCTCTATCTACTTGCTCCCCAGCGTCTTCTGGACTGGTAGAATCCCAAGGCCCGCCCCTCCCTGAGAATGCTATTCTGGGGAACAAGATGCAGAAGGTTGTGAGACCAACTTCTTGGCTGAGAACAAAGGGAAGGGGTATGTCAACATGTGGCTTCCCTGGTCAAATATACCTGGCCCACAGCATACATGCATTCCTCAGGGTGCAGGATCTGTGGAGGCAGAACAGGTAGTCAGAAGGGTGGACATGGGGATGTCTAAAACACCTGGCAGTGAGTTGGGGGTTCCCTATAATCTAGAAAGCCTGGGTAGACCTAAGTGTGAGTCTGTCCTTTTATTTATTTATTTATTTTTGTAAATTTTCTCCATTAAGGCCTAGAGTCTGGCCTCTGCTTCGCAATCTTCCCAGCTTGTGGTGGTAGAGGTGGGATGGTCAAGAAGTGAAGACAGAAGGTACTCAACTTACAGTGGGGTAACATCATGATAAACCCATCGTTAGTTGCAAACATAAGCTGAAAATGCATTTAATACACCTAGCCTACCTTATATGTTTTTAGAACACTTAACAGTAGCCTATTATAGTTGGGCAAAATCATCTAACACAAAGCCTATTTTACAATAAAGTGTTGAATCTCATGTAATTTATTGAATACTGTACTGAAAGTAAAAAACAGAATGGCTGTATGGGTACTCAAAGTACAGTTTCTACTGAATGTGTATGGCTTTCACACAATCATAAAGTCTAAAAATCCTAAATTGGGTATGATGTAAGGCAGAAAGGAGATGCAGACGAACTGGGGAGAGGATAGGGGCAGCCCCTACCTGCCCCACCCGGTTGTGCCAGCCCATGCGCTGCAGGCCAGCTGTTGCCAGGATGATCGCACTAAACTCCTGCTGCTCGTCCAGCTTCCGAAGCCGGGTGTTGAGGTTTCCCCGCTGTGGAGGGTTGCTAAGGACTACAGTGTCGGGCAATCTGGGGCTTCATGCGGTTCCCTCTGCCTGAGTCTTAACCTCTCTAGCTGGCTGACTTTCATTCATCTTCCAGCTGTCAGCTTAATGGTAACAGCTAACACTTATATCATACTTACTACATGCCAGTCACTGCTCTAAATGTACTTTCCATATGTCAGCTCATTGCATCTTCCCAACAGCCCTGTGAGGAAGGTAGTATTATTATCCCCACTTTATAGATGAGGAAAATGACACAGGAAAGCTAAATAATTTGCCCAAGGTTACAAGACCTCTGAGAAACCTTCCCTGACCCCCAGATTTCTGTGTTTAGATGTTCCATCTAGAAGTTTCCAAAAAATTCGCATCTTGACTTACCACATACTATTTTTAAATTTAGTTTTATTAAATGTACTACATATTCATTGTAAAAGTCAAAGCAATATAATAGCATATAAAAATGGAAGTACTGGCCGGGCATGGTGGCTCTAGCCTGTAATCCCAGCACTTTGGGAGGCAGAGGCTGGTGGATCACCGGAGGTCAGGAGTTTTATAGCAGCCTGACCAACATGGTGAAACCCCGTCTCTACTAAAAATCCAAAACTTAGCCAGGCATGGTGGCAGGTGGCTATAATTCCAGCTACTTGGGAGGCTGAGGCAGGAGGATTGCTTGAACCCAGGAAGCAGAGGTTGCAGAGATCACGCCACTGCATTCCAGCCTGGGCGACAGAGCAAGACTCTGTCTAAAAAAAAAAAAAAAAGAGGTACTCTCTTATCCTTTCAGAAGCAGTCACTGTTCAGTATAACGGCATTATCCCTAAATAAAAAGTAAACTCCATATGCAGGGGCAATGTTTATATTGCTCACCATTATCCCCAATGCCTTGCATTCTAAGCACTTGCCTGGGGCTAAGAAAACATTATAGACTATAAATGCGTGGACAAATGAGTGGATGGAAGGAAAGACAGGCCACTGACTCCATGTGCTGCTAGCTGGAAGCCCCTTCCATTCTCAGGACTTCCAGAGTCCTCTAGACCTTGTCTTTTTCCTTGGCTGCTGCCCCCATCCATCTTCTAAAAGGATACAATGCTCCTGAACTCCAGATGTGGGAACTTTCTCTGCAGCTGGGCCGCTCTCCGCAGGGAGCTGGTTCCCACCACACTGCCAAGAGAGAGGTTACAATGAGATTTTAACACTAGGCTGTCACTGTTCCTTTCCTCTCTTCCTCCTCCATCTTTTGGGCACATCCCACTGAGCTGCCTATACAGGCCCCACTTACCTCTTTTCTGGCAAAGTTTCTAGGGTCTTCCCAACAAATTTTGGGTGAAAGACGACAGCATCATGGGGGTTTTCCCGCCTGGGGGATGAGGGAAGGGCATAAAATGAGGGAAGAGATTTCAGTTCAGATCATCTCTACTCTCTCGATTGCCAACTCACTGGTATTTCCTGAGTTTTCTGCCACCAATCAACACTCCTCAGGGCAGAGGAGATAACCCCGGAGCAGAGGGTCAGGTCCCAAAGGGAAAGGCAAAGGTTCACATGATGCCTACCCCTGCCCAAGTCCCCTTACTTGCAAGACTCTTACTTGCAGATGGCTCCTATGGTGAAGCCAGGAGGAAGCACAGTGGGCAGGTCCTTCAGGGAGTGAACAACCAGGTCCACTCTAAAAAGATGGGAGAGGGGGGCAAGAAAAAAGTGTATGAGCAGCCAGCCTTCACCCCTTCTCCATCCATCCCTGGGTCTACTTCAGTAGTGGAACCTAGGGCAGTTCAGGAAGCACGCCTTCCCAAGACCTCAGGAGCCTGAAACATGCTCTCCTCTCACCCTCCCTCCTACCCTCGCTTCCCCGGTGGTTCTTGCAGTCCAGGCAGCCAGATGGCTCAGAACCAAGACACTCTCCTTTTCTGAGGGCTGAAAAAACCCATCTATGAGCCGCCTTCAGCCTCTCTGAGGGTTTAAACCCAGCAGCCTAGCTGACATCCGGGGTCCCTGCAAGAGACCTAACGTACTAGGGTCCCAGCAAGAGACCGGGGTGGTGGGGAGGTGGCACCACACTCCTATCTTTACTTACTCATTCCTCTCCAGGGCATGTTCAAGCTCCTTGGTAAACAAGCTCTTCTCTCCAATCTGTTGGGCAAGAAGGAGCCTGGGTGAATCCCTTCAGGGAAGGAAAGAAGAGTGGGGACAAGAATTGGGGGGAAGATGATGTTACCTTAGAGAGTGCAGTATCAAGGATCTTGTCCCCTGTGGTGGACATAGCAACTGAGGAGAGAGTCAATCAATCAGGTGCTCATTGATCAACATTTCCTGAGGCCAGCACTGTGCTACAATTCATGATATGGACAGAGGCATGTAAGCCCTGATCCCTGCCCTCTGAGTATGTACAATCGAGCAGAAGACCAGAAACACTCATAAAAAAGACCCAAAGCTCAAGATGTTAAATGCCAGGCTAACCCAGGTAGTCAGAGCTGGAGGTATTCAGAGGAAAGCACCTTTGGAGCTGGGAGCAGCCAAGAGGGATTCTCGGGGCAGTGGGACAGGCTTTAGTTGTAGGCAAAGCCAGAAATGCTGTTTTCTCCCCTCTTGGGATACTGGGCTTCCCATTAGCTTCCACTCCTTGCCAGAAAACTCACTGATTTCAAACTGCAGGCCAGGGTACAAGGCTTTCAGTGTTGCCACCACACTGTCCGTCTGTATGCGAGCAAGCTGGGGGTAGAGATTTCAATTAGTCCTGCCCTTCCCAGCCACTGCTCAGACTCTCATAGGTTAGGCAGATGCTGAAGGGACCGGAATTTCCATCTGGGAATGAGAAGGGCTTGGGAGTCATATGCACTCCAACAGTTTTCCCAGCCTAGGGATGATCTTGCCATAGAATGTACTCTGCCATTCTCCCGCCCATCTACCCCACCTCCTCCATGCTAGAAACCAACCCTCTGAGTCCCCCAATTTGTGATGCTGTGAGCATCACAACTATTCCGACAAACCTCCTCCACCCCAGCTCCTGCACTCACCTGGCTCTTGCGGGTACCCACACGAATCACTCTCATCTTTGGGCTGTTTTCTTCCTGCAGAAAAAGTTCCCAGGTCACAGTCCCCTTCTGTTCCTTGTGTTCCTCACCACCTTGTCCAAGAACCAGAATCACTGGCTTGGAAGAAAAGAACTCAGCCTGTGACCAGCTGAGTCTCAGAGTGGGGAAATACTCCAAGTCTGGTCCCTTTAACCTTCCTCAGTTCCTTCTGCCTTCCTCAGGGACCCACAGAAGCAGAGACCAGAGCGAGGCGATAGTAGGATCTGCTGTTGCTGTCGCTGCAGTAACCAGGACACTGAGCCCTGAAGCCAAGGCAGTTGTCAGTGGGAGTGTGGCGCACAGCAGGTGGGTAAAGAGATAAGGCCCATCAGCCTGGCCACAGGGAGGGTTGGGCCTGCAGCTGGCAGGGCAGGGCAGCCAGGACCACACTGGGGAACCAGTGCTGAGTCACTGGAGGACAGATTCATTATCTACAACAGACGAGGCACTTGAGAAAATTTCAGTGCCATCGAAATGCCACATGGAGTAGACTAGAGTCTAAAAACAGCAAGCTGCCACCTTCTCCAGCAAGAGGCCCAGATGTCTGGCTGCAAAAGAACTCAAGAGGATGAAGATTTCAGAGCAGGAAAAGCAGACAGTATTAAGCATTCCTTAATCTGGCTGGACTGCATACATTAAGACTGAAGTAGAGAGATCTGATGTACAGTCTGCTCAGCCTCTTGGCTGGGTGACCTTGGGTACACTGTCCCATCAGGATCTGTTTGTTCATCTATAAAATGAAGAGGTTTGGACTCAGGTTTCTTCTGCCTCAGATAATCCATATGAGGCTGCACTGCCGAACGTTCATTCACCTAGAGTGCTGCCTCTGGTTTCACCAGGAAGGAAATATTGGGAGGCCAGAGCCCAAGCCAAGAACTCAAAAGGACACACCTCTTCCTCCTGCCAGACTACCTTGGACAAAAGTATTCACTGCCAAGTAGGTAGAACTGAATTCTTCAGTCTAAGAAATGGAGGTCCCATTTCTTTCTACATCAGACAGTAGCCACCGTAGATACTGATACTGTTGACATTCCCTGATCTGGGATGTTCATCCTATGGAGTTCCTTTTTATTTATTCATTTGTTTATTTTTCTCCCCACCGACACTTTTTTTTTTTTTTTTTTTTTTGAGACAGAGTTTTGCTCTGTTGCCCAGGCTGGAGTGCAGTGGCACAATCTCAGCTAACTGCAACCACTGCTTCACAAGTTCAAGCAATTCTCCTGACTCAGTCTCCCAAGAAGCTGGGACTAGAGACACATGCCACTATGCCTGGCTAATTTTTATTTTTATTTTTTCCTTTTTTTTTTTCAAGATGGGGTTTCACCATGTTGGTCAGGCTGGTCCTGAACTCCCCGACCTCAGGTGATCTGCCCGCCTTGGCCTCCAAAGTGCTTGGATTACAGGCATGAGCCACCACGCCCGGCCAATTTTTATTTTTATTTTTATTTTTTTGAGACTGAGTCTTGCTCTGTTGCCCAGGCTGGAGTGCAATGGTGCGAATTCAGCTCACTGCAATCTCTACCTCCCAGGTTCAAGCAATTCTCCTGTCTCAGCCTCCTGGGTACCTGGAATTACAGGCATGTGCCACCACGCCCAGGTAATTTTTTGTATTTTTAGTAGAAATGGGGTTTCATCGTGTTCCCCAGGCTGTTCTTGAACTCGTGAGCTCAGGCAACCCACTGCCTCGACCTCACAAAGTGCAAGGATTACAGGCGTAAGCCACCATGCCTGGCCTAATTTTTATATATTTAGTAGAGATGGGGTTTCACCATGTTGGCCAGGGTACTGTGGAGTTCTTCTGTACCCAGACATCTGAGGCCTCTTGCTGGAGCAGGTAACAGCTTGTTGCCCTTAGACTCTGGTCTACTCCATGTGGTCACTCCAATAAATCAACCCTGGGAGACCCTTTGCAAATTAGGCTAGGCTTGAAATACTAAACGTGGCCACCAAAATTCTGGGCCACAGGGAGCCCACAGAAAGGAATCTAAGGTCCCAGAACTACTAGGTTCAAATAATTCCTTAAGATCATTGAATGTGCACAGCATATTCAAGTCAAACCATTTCATTAAAAAATAAAACACTGGCCGGGCGCGGTGGCTCACGCCTATAATCCCAGCACTTTGGGAGGCCAAGGCGGGTGGATCATGAGGTCAAGAGATCGAGACCGTCCTGGTCTACACGGTGAAAACCCGTCTCTACTAAAAATACAAAAAATTAGCTGGGCATGGTGGCGCGTGCTTGTAATCCCAGCTACTCAGGAGGCTGAGGCAGGAGAATTGCCTGAACCCAGGAGGTGGAGATTGCGGTGAGCCGAGATCCCGCCTTGCACTCCAGCCTGGGTAACAAGAGCGAAACTCTGTCTCCAAAAATAAAATAAAATAAAATAAAACACTGAGCACTTCTATGTTGAAGCTATTGCTTTTGCATATTGTTGTCTTCTCAACAATCCTATCAAGTAGACAAGACAGGCACCTTTGGCACTATGTTACAGAAGCAAAGAGGGCACCGAGGGGTGAGGTGACTTGGCCAGGGTCACACAGCTAACAACGGGTAGAGAGTTGGGGCTACAATTCAGATCTTCCTACTCCTAGTCCAGGGCTCTGGAATGCTTGCACGAGCAAAGAATCCCACCCCTCACCAATTGGCTGGACAGGGGGAGATAAGCAGCTCCCCATCTCTTTCTTATCTCAGGCTGGCAGTGGCTTCCACCAACTCTGCAGTTTGCCTGTGCACAAGCCCAGAGCTTGGCAGGCAGGGTGGTAATGGGAAGGCCCACGGTAGCCTCCCACCCACGGTAGTAATTCAGTGGGTGTATCTCAGCTGGGGATTGGAGAGTTGGCTGTAGCTGGGACACCACTACAATAGAAAAAGAGAGAAGGCACACTTCCAAGACGTTTGTTTGCAGTTTGGAAGCTTGGCTTATACTCTCTCCTCTGGATCAAAAGTAGAACGTGTCTTCCCAAAGATGCCGCATCTGCATCCGCCTCGGCCCAGCCTCAAGTGAAAGGGCCCGGTCTGTGTAGACGAACATTCGTGGTCTGGGTCACTAAATCTAGAGCCTTGCATCCCAGGCCTGACAGGAATTCCACCCAGATGCCCGCAGGAACGCCGTTCTGTTCCAGACAATCCTTTCACTCTTAACCTAGCACCACCGTTCTCTGATTTCCCCATTCCTTTCGAAGGGCAACCGGCCCTTTAAAAACTATTCGGACAAAAAAAATGGATAGCCGTTCCGACCAATAGACAACTGAGGATGGCAACCTGGGGCCAATCGCTGCACGGCTCGTCCAGAAGCCCAAAGTGTGCTGGTCACCGGCTCAGCACTCACCACTGTTGCAGTCGCGTTGCCGTTACCAGACATGGCTCCGCTCGGGAAGTAGGCTGTGTGCGGGTGCCGCCAAGGTCCCCCGGCCCTGGGAAGCCGGGGGTTGCGGCCAGCGAGCACCGGGAACACGTGGGGCCCGAGCTCGTCCTACAGTCGGACTCCTGGTCTCCGCAGGGCATCGCGTCACTTCCGGCGCCCTCCCTCGAAGGGGAGGTGCCTCCCTCTGGGCGGGAATTGGAACTTTGCGGCAGAGTGGACCTTCCCATTCGACCTCTCCATTCCCCAGCTGTGGCATGAGCGAGTAGCACACCTTCTATGGCGCTTCCTTTGCTCTGTTCAAACTTAGCTTTGCTACAACCCTGAAGTAGCCTGCATTTTTCTGTTGTTGTTGTTGTTTTGAGACAGAGTTTCACTCTTGTTGCCCAGGCTGGAGTGCAGTGGCGCGATCTCAGCAACCCGCGCCTCCCGGGTTCAAGCGACTGTCCTGCCTCAGCCTCCTGAGTAGCTAGGATTATAGGCATGCACCACCACAACCGGTTAATTCTATATTTTTAGTAGAGACCGGGTTTCACCATGTTGGCCAAGCTGTTCTCGAACTCCTGACCACAGGTGATCCACCCGCCTCGGCCTCCCAAAGTGCTGGGATTACAGGCCTCTGTTTTTTTTGATACAGGGTTTCACTGTGTCCCCAGACTGGAGTGCAGTGGCATGATCATGGGTCACTGCAGCCTTGACCTCCCAGGCTCCAGTTACCCTCCCACCTCAGCCTCCCAGGCAGCTAGGACTACAGGTGGGTACCACCACATCGGGCTAATTTTTAAATGTTTTGTAGAGACAGCAGGGAGGTGGTCTCACGGTGTTGCCCAGGCTGGTCTCAAACTCCTGGAACTCAAGTGATCATCTTGCTTTGGCCTCCCAAAATACTGGGATTACAGGTGTGAGCCACTGGCCCAGCCAGCATTTCAATTCTTAAAATGAGGAAACTCGTTCAGAGAGATTAAAGGTCATGCCTTAAAGACAAGTAACTGGAGTGGCAGCACAAACACTAACACGCTACATGTGTTAGTGAGAACATGGCGTATTAGGAAAGTGCTTTCCCTTGAACTTAATTAACAGTCATGATTATTAATAATCACCCAGCTGGGTGTAGTGGCTTACACCTATAATCCCAGGACCTTGGGAGGCCAAGGCAGGATTCCTTGAGCCTAGGAGTTTGAGACCAACCTGGGCAACTGGTGAAAACTTCATCTCTACAAAAAATACAAAAAGAGCCAGATGTAGTGGCACATGCCTGTAGTCCCAGCTACTCAGGAGGCTGAGGTGGGAAGACTGCTTGAGCCCAGGAGGTTGAGGCAGCTGTGAGCTGTGAGCTATGACGGTGCCACTGCACTCTAGCCTGAATGACAGAGTGAGACCCTTTTTTTTTTTTTTTTTGAGACGATGTTTCATTCTTGTTGCCCAGGCTGGAGTGCAATGGTGCAATCTTGGCCCACTGCAACCTCCAACTCCCAGGTTCAAGCGATTCTCCCGCCTCAGCCTCCTGAGTAGCTAGGATTACAGGCACCCACTACCACTCTCGGCTAGTTTTTGTATTGTTAGTAGAGACAGGGTTTCACCATGTTGGTCAGGATGGTCTCGAACTGCTGACCTCAGGCAATCCACCCACCTCAGCCTCTCAAAGTGCTGGGATTATAGGCATGAGCCACCGTGCCCAGCTGAGACCATGTCTTAAGGGGGAAAAAAATCACCCATGTGCTGAGCACTGTATAAAAAACTAATACCTATTTGCTCTTTAGGCTTTCATCATAGCCATACAGGGTAGGTGTTACAATTCCTAATGTACAGATGAAGAAAGAGGTTGAAGGGGAAAGGGTGGGGTAAGATGAGGGATAAGAGACTACACATTGGGGATGGTGTATACTGCTTGGGTGATGGGCACCAAATCTCAGAAATCACTGCTAAAGAACTTATTCACATAACCAAACACCACCTGTTCCCCGAAAACCCACTGAAATAAAAACTACATTTAAAAACAAAAAAACAGGTTGAGAAGTAAGATGTACCCTAAGGCAAACAGCACAGCTAGGATTTGAACCCAGGTCAGTGGATCCAAAGTCTACTCAGCAGCTACAATACTGCCAGTGTTTTTTTCTTTTGGAGACAGGGTCTCTGTCACCCAGGCTGGAGTACAGTGGCGTGATCAAGGCTCACTGTAGCCTCAACTTCCTGGGCTGAAGCAATCCTCCCACCTCTTCTCAGCCTCTTGAGTAGCTGGGACCATAGGCCCACCAGGCTGGGCTAATTTATTTTTATTTCTTGCACAGACGGGGTCTCAACTATGTTGCCTGGGCTGGTCTTGAACTCCTGGGCTCAAGCGACCCTCTAACCTCAGCCCTGCAAAGTGTTGGGATTACAGGCATGAACTACCATGCCAGCCCATGCCAATTCTAAATACCACCTAAACCACAATATCAAACTTATATCCTCCAATTAAACAACATAGGAGACGAAATTAGGTGAGGTTGTGGGGAAAAAAAACCAATAGGAGCAATTTTCTGACACCCAGCGCCACCCAAATTACACAGGGACACCTAGCAACATAAACTTTAGCTGACAATTTCAAAGAGGGAAAGATGTTTCCAGAAAGGACCTTTTATCCTGTTTATCATCTGGTACTAAGTACAGCAAGACACCAACCTACCCATTATTAAGATAGGTTAAGCCCAAAGCTTCCTACCAGAATCTGCCTCCTGCTTGAGTATTTTGCCCAAACCAGAGCCATAGAGACCAGCAAGAGGAAACAGCAAGAGCTGTTTTGGGGGTCTCAGTCCAGGGTGCTCCTGGAGCTCAGTCATTAGGTCTTTTGCTGAGGTTCTTCAGTAAATTGAACTGTACGCGATGCCACAGGCCCCACCCATTACCAGAACGAGACTGATCTCCAAGACCACCATAGGAGGGAAGTGGAACTCTAGGAGCGCAGAGGAAAGGAAGTCCATCATGCAGTTAAGAATCACCAGGAAGTCCCCAGAAAAAAATCCATAAGCTCCCAAAGCATTATATTTTTTTATTTATAGACTCTGAGAGCAAGGACCCAAGCACAGCCTGGTGCTCTTAGATAAAGAATAAAGCAGCTATTGTCCACACTCAGAGGTTGCTGAGGTGCCCTCCCCCACTGATCTGGAATGATCTAAACCGCTAGTCAAGAGGAGGGATGGCCAGCTAGCTAAGTAAGAAGGCAGGGAAAGAAGTCTCCTTTAGTTCTGAGGGCTTTGACATTAGATGAGAGTGGAGCCCTGGGCATGTCAGCCAGCTTCTGTGTAACACCTGCCCAGGTCCCCTTGTATCTGTCCTTTCGGTCCTCCACTGTTGCCCATGCCTTCCTCCAAGCTGTTTAAGTGCCCCTCCTGGAGTGCATGAGCAGGTCACGCTGCAGCCCAGCCTCTAGGCTGGGGGTCAGTCTGGTTGTGGGAGGGTCAGTCAGCAGAGTCAATTTGTTGAAAACACCTCTGCCGAAGTAGTCAGCAATCACAGAGAAGCTGTCATTGGAGCACTTGAGCTGCAGAAGAGGAGGGAAGGAGTAAGAATTAGAACCAAAGTGCTTATTTCTTAAATGATGAGGAGATAAGGAAACCAGCCCTCCAGTGACTGTGACCAGGGTGGGAATCCCCTGGCCCATCTAGCCAACTCATCTCACCTGATGCTGGAACTGATCATGGAGATCTCGTTTCTGTTCCTGGGCCCGGATCATATCCATGACCTTCCGGTTTTCAGGGAGGCAGGTGGGGCAGTCAGCATCACTTTCAGAGTAACTCTCAAAGCAGTGTTGATGGAAGGAGTGGCCACACAGGAAGTGGACTGAGGGCAACTCCAAGGCACTGTTACAGATGCTGCACTTGGTCTTTTGGAAAATCTTAGGACTGCAGGCAAGAAAGACCAGAGATGAGTGGCAAAAGTGAGGGCAAGGTCAAGAGTCAAGGATGAGAAAGGCAGCTAAAGTGGATTCGACAAGGTTCCTGGTAAGGTCGCCAGGCCCTGCCCTGCTCTTCTGACTGCCTTGAGGGAGTCAAATGATTACAACAGCCCTGGATCTGCAGTGAGTCTCAGCTTGCTCCCAACAAGGCTAACTCAGCCCAGGGATCGTTTCCTCTCTCTTTCCATTTTCACAACTGCCACTAAATTCTCTTTCAGGTCTGTACTCAGATGTGACCCTTTCAGTGAGGCCTTTCCCGGCCACCTTCTCTAAACTTGTTAACACACTCCTTCCCCCACTCCCCATCCTCAATTCATTTTCCCCTCACAACTTATCACCACCTAACATACTACAAAAGTTTGCCTATTTGACCAGGCGCAATGGCTCACACCTGTAATCCCAGCACTTTTGGAGGCCAAGCAGGTGGATCACATGAGATCAAGAGTTCGAGACCAGCCTGGCCAACATGGTGAAACCCTGTCTCTACAAAAACACAAAAATTAGCCGGGCATGGTGGCAGACGCCTGTAATCACAGCTACTTGGGAGGCTGAGGCAGGAGAATCAATTGAACCTGGGAGGCGAAGGTTGCCATGGGCCGAGATCACGTCATTGTGCTCCAATCTGGGTGACAGAGCAAGACTCCATCTCAAAAAAAAAAAAAAAGTTGGGCTGGGCGCTGTGGCTCACGCCTGTAATCCTAGCACTTTGGGAGGCCGAGGTGGGTGGATCACCTGAGGTCAGGAGTTCAAGACCAGCCTGGCCATCATGGTGAAACCCCATCGTAAAAAAAAAAAAAAAGTTTGTCTATTTAACATGTTTGCTGTCTGTCTCTTCTAAAACATAAAGTTCCATGAAGGCAGGGCTTTTTGTCTGTGCTGTTCAGAACAGTGCTTGGGATATCACAGAGGCTCAGTATTTATAGAATGAAGAAATTGTTGTTCTCTTATAAATATTTTACAGAATATTAAGGGCAGGTAAGATTTAAGAGTTGGGATTATGGCTGGGCACAGTGGCTTATGCCTGTAATCCAAGCATTTTGGGAGGTTGAGGCAGGAGATCACTTGAGGCCAGGAGTTCGAGACTAGCCTGGCCAACATTGTAAACCCCATCTCTACTAAAAATACAAAAATTGGCTGGGTGTGGTGGTGCATGCCTGTAATCCCAGCTACTTGGGAGGCTGAGGTAAGAGGATCACTTGAGCCCAGGGAGGTCAAGGCTATAGTGAGCTGTGATCACACC